GGAACGGATGACTTCCTTCAGACTAGGCTGGGATCAGCAAGTGACAGAGCAGGATTCCAGATGGAAACCCCCAAGGAAGGGAAGCCGGACAAACATCTACAGGCATCTTGCTGGCTCTGAGATGCCATGGGGAGAGACGGTGCTAGAAAGACCCTTGTCAGGACCACAAAAGAGGGTGAGCAGGGGCCTAGGGGTTCAGTGAGAAGGACGATGTGATGATGAAATGCCAAGTCCCCTCCCACGAAGGCTCATGTCACATGCTGCGGCTGCTATGCTATTCTGAGTGGCTCTGTCGACTAGGCAGAGGGAATGGGTCACTGGGTGAAGGGGGTGTTACTGGGGGATTATAACATTGCCTGCCCCAGACATGGAGACAAGAGGCTCCTTCTGTGGACGATGCTGGAAAGGGGGCTTCTTCACTGGCCTCCCCAGGTTCCAAGTAAACACAAGAGGATCTTCAGTGAACTGAACCACTGTTGCCAAGGCCACAGGCTCCAGAGAGATGGAAAGCCACATTTCCCAGCTCCCCAGAGGTGGCCCAGGCCCTGTTAGAGTTAAGTGCTCCTGTAAAGTAGGATGGAGGAAATGAGTCACACCTGGGCAAGACAGGCATTCTCGGCCATCCCGGGGGACCCGCGGGAAATGCAATGGTAGTGTTTCCGTGGGAGAGGCCGGGGGTGTGGCATCTGTCTGCCTTGGCTTCACTGCCTCCCACTGGGCTATTCCTGGCGCCGATGCCAGTTTTTGTTTCTTCCTGGAGAGTCTGTGAGGTCTTGCGTGCCTCCCACAACCGTGACCATGATAGGAATTCTGCATTTGCTGCTCAGGACACCGAGTGCCCACTGCCACCCTGCATGCACTCGTGTGTGCAGAGCCACTGTAGGGCATGTCACATGGGTGTCCTACTGCAGGCAAGACCCGTGTTTCTAATGCGGAGGCTCAGAAAAAAGAGCTATGAAATTTATAATGGATGATTTTCTGAAATGTTACATGTAGGCAACTGTGTAAGTTAAACCACATTTAGGAGCAGTTAAAGCGTTGTGGCGTCTGGAGAGACGGATCAGTGGCTAACATGAACTGTTTTTGCAAAGGACCTGAATTTGGTCCCAGCACCCACATAAGGGGGCTCACAATCATTTGTAACCCCAGCTCCAGGGGCGCCTGACACCTCTGGCCCGTGCAGGCACTTCCACTCACACATGCCCCATACAGAATAAAATTAAGTTGAGTAGAAAGAAAACTCTGTTTGGAAAGTCCTGTTGCCCATGGGGGCAGTGATGACATGTCTTCTGCTATGAAGAGTGACCCTCTTACAGAAACGCTGGACCCCCAAGAGAGGCAGCAGTCACACGTTGGGTCTAGACTTGGGGACAAACACTTACAAGTCCCTAAATCCCTCTCCAATACTAAAAGAGGAGGCCAGCAGCCTAGATGGGCTCTGTGGGGAAGGTGCCTGGAGGATCAAGCGGGAGCACTTCAGGACAGCACCAGAACAGCCATTCCTCCCTCTGACTAAAGGCAGGAAACACCAAATGGGGAAATTATTCTTCATTTAAGACTCCACCCAGAGCATTGGTGGCACATCCCCATAATTCCCATTACTCAAGAGCATCATGAGTTTGAGGCCAGCCTGGGCAACGTAGCAAGACCTTACCTCAAAATAAAACCAAGCAAGTAATCAGGGCTGCAGCTGTGGCTCAGTGGTAGAGAATTTGCTCAGGGTTCAGCACAGGGAGAGGGAGAGTCTGCCACAGCAGGAGATGAGGCGGGGTGAAACAAGACTATGGGAGATGGAGTTGGGAAGTTGCCATGCCGTGAGGGAAGTCAGCAAACACATCCAGGAAGACAAGGCTGCCTATCTGAGAGACGCTTGCCCTGCAAAGGAGGTTCAAGTACATGCAGACGGACTAGGGAGTTTTCTTTTTTTGTAATCCTCTTGTGATGAAGCTAGGGCTGTGCAGCATCTCCCCCACTGGTGTGTGCTGTACTCAACAGTCTGGAATGACCAGGTCCTCTCCCTGGTCCACACAGAGAAACACAAAGGAAACATGGGAACCAGAAAACAGCTCAGAGTTCTAGGAATGATACACAACCCCCACCTTAGTCCCACCTTGGCCACCCCGGAATCAAAGCAGGAAGGGCAGATTGTCTGGCCTCTGAAGGTCTTTCCAGCCTTAGACTGCTGTGACAGATGGCTACGTCACAGGACTAGCTTCCTCCACGTGGAGACGTATTATATAATAAGTCAATGTGTGCACGAGCTAAGACAGCTGTTACTAGCAAATACTATCGTAGTGGACTGACATGCATGTTTTCTTAGATGTATCTATTAATATACCTTTATTTCCCATTAATCATTAATAAAAGAATTATAGTTATCAGTGGATAATTATGGCAAATGGGCTACTATTTATTTATAAACAGGATGTCTGTTTATTAAAATGTCAAGAGCACAGTAAACCACCTTGTCACTCACAGTTTCCTTGTTCCTTTGGTAGAAGGCAGACTGTTACAGACACCAGGCTGGAGAAACTGTATTCTTTGGGTATAGAATTCATTGTTGGGCCACTTAGTTTCCTCAACTAAACACCTTTGAGAAATGGTAGACTCGAATCTGCTCACATCTAAGACATAAAGTTACATCCAAATGTCGTCTCCAGGGCCACAATGCAGAACAGTCAGGCTCACAGGCGGTTTAAGAGGCAGGCAGGCATTCCTAGCATCAGGGACATCAGGCATGAACCGACGCTGTTCAGGGACCAGCTACCTGGCAGCCTGCATTTCTCTGAGGTATCTAAAAATGGAGAAGGCCACGCGGAGCCATGTTGAGATAGATGATTTGGATAAGCTCCATTTGAACATTTCTTTAAGGAAAAATACCCAAACCTTCAAAGCCACAGCTGAAAAACATACAATCTTCAAAGTTCTCCACACAGACTCTCCATTTTTGCTGTCAAAAAAGGGGGGGGGGTCTTGATCAGTGGGCCACACTCACTTACCTTTCAGCATGCCATGTGCCATGCTGGGAACCTTGTTTCCACAAACCCCCGTGAGCCCCGGGTGCCCTCTGGGAAGGAGATAACATCAATGCTCCATCCCGGAAAGATTGCCACAGTAGTGGAACTTGTGTGGCTTGTCTGCAGGGCAGGGGTGGCCACGCAAAAGGTGGGGCCATACAAATGGTTCCCGTTCCCACTCTTGCCTGGGACCACTGCTCTCAGAGATCATAGCTGTAAAATGCTAAAGCTCTTGGGACAGCAGTGAGGGGTAGCCGCATATGGAAATTAACCCCTGGGGAATGAATCTAATGTGAACATTTCAAAGATGAAATGAATGGAGAAGCCAGGTTTTCTTACAGAAATGGAATGACTCCTTGGCTAGGAAGGGGCAGTGGTCCTGCTGGAACATCTTCAGCATCTATTTTAAACAGTGACATCATATATATCTCTATCTATCTGTCTGTCTGTCTGTCTGTCTGTGTAATCTGATCTGTCTTCCCCTCATGGATTAAGTTCAGGAGGATGGGTACCATGCCCATCCTCTCTCCCTGCATCGCCAGTGCCTGGTCAAGTGGAAAGTAGTACGCAAAGAAATGAAAGAATGTGCTGGAGCAGGAGAAAGAATGCATCCATCAGAAGGGTCAGCAAAGGAGTGCAGAGAAATGAGGCAGCTCCCTAGGACTCATCCAGGTCATGGCCAGAAGAGGCTTGCCCAAAGAGATCCATCGGCTGCTGGCACAGACCTCCCCGGGGCTGCTCACACTCAGATGCTCTGGGCCTTGCCACGGTTGGTTTCCCTGGAAACGGGCTGCCTTTCTGAGACAACTGTGGCCATGGCAAGTTAGGCAGGTAAAGGAAAGCTTCTGTAGGACATCCTTGAAGCCAGCCATGGCTGCTCCTGCATGAGCCTCAAACCTCCAAGCTGTAAGATCTGCTACTTCTTCCTAGAACACACCTACTTTGCAAGGTTGTTCTAAGGGTGTAGAAGTAAAAACGTCGACACTTGGTGTGCTCTGTAAGGCAGTTATCTGACCAGTAGATGCTCTTGTCGTAATCACATAGTCCATGTAAGGACCAGGAAGTTTATCAGGCTAAGCGCTTAACCCACAGGGAGGAGAGTTCAAAGCCACAGCAGCAGAGCCTTGGGACAGCTTGTGGGACCAGTGCAGGGTGGGTAAGTGGTGAAACAGCAGCAGGGCCACATTGTCCCCAAGGGCTGTGATCTACAGTGCCTGTTGTCTCAATGACTAGAGGACAGCTCCAGTCCCTAGTGAACAGAGGCGGAGTCAGCACCCAGCTATGTGCCTGACGTAGGTGGCACACTGCCCTCCCCAAATCCCAGCAGCCCCCATGACAGGTGCTAGAGTAGGGCTGAGTCGAGAGACAAGGGAGGAACCAAAAGCTGCAGGCTGTGGTGAGAAGGGGTGTGCAAGTCCACACCCCCTACCATTGCTTTGTGCTCAGAGTCAGAGGCAGGGTGGGTTAATCCAGCGAGGGGAGCTTTTCTCTTGCCAGACTCCAGTTATGCAGTTCCTGGTGCCACTTTGCTGTGACATGTTTGCCCTGCGGTAGGAGTCCCGCTCCAAACCAAAGCCAAGACACAAGATGTAGTCCAGTCACAGGATTGAGCCCTCATTCAACCTACCTTTTCCAACAGTCAGAGCGACCCAGTGGCATACGGTGAACCTCATAGTTTTCTTGGTTTATAGTAATGGACAAGGTGATAAAATGGACATTAGAAATAGGCAGATGGTGGGGAAGTTGCACTCATGAGCATACGCACGCGCGCACATGCACACACAGGCACGCACACACACGCCTCCACACACACAAAACCAAGGAAGTTTTCTGGCTGAAAAGAAAGTAGAACATACCCCCAAAATCAAACACTGAATTTGTAACATCAAATCTAGGCAAATTCAGAAAGGCAAGTCACATTGTGCACATTGGTGTCTGAGCTTTTCACCCAGAGAACTGTAAAGCATGCATGCATATACATACCCGACTTGGGTACTGTCTCGGTACGGCAGCACGGAAAATATACTACAGAAGGATCTTCTGCCACTGATAAGGACTATTCTAAAAAGTAAAAACAAAAAACAAAAAAACAAACAACTAACTAAATGCAAAGACTCCAAATTAAAAAAACAAAACAAACTTAAAATAAGTTCTACAGCAAATTAAGCATTCATGGAATTCACAGCAGCTTTTGCATACTCCCGCACCTCCTCCAACAGATGGCATTCTGCTCTTCTTGCAAAACACAAGGCTCAGCACAGCAGAAGTTTGCTGCCTTTCCCCACCCAAATATTAGCACGTGTGAGACCAGCCATACGTGAGAGGTGCTGCCGGGGACGTGAGCTGTGCAGACAAGGCGGAGCAGACCGCACTGAATCTTGGGTGGCCAGCGCAGGCATGGTGAACACCACATCAGGACTACTGACTTCTGCCCCACAGTAAACAATGTGAGGGCAACCGTGCCCAGACCCGTGAGTTGGAAAGATGTTCAAATCCATTACCATCGTTAGCTTTTCATATTCTGGCAACATGTTAGGTTCTGAGAATAGACTGAGGGAACGATTATGTAATCAGTCTTAGCCACCATCCCTGCTATAAAGAATCTACTGGAGTGATTCTACACGATGTTCTTATGCAATCAAAGCCACTGGGAAAAACATTGAAAACAAAAACAAAACCCCTCAAAGCACTTATCCTGCCATCTGAGAATAACTTTTGCCAAGGGGAATTGCTCGTGAAAAAAAAATAATAAAGAAATGAGTGGAAGAAAATAAAAATCATTCTTTTTGGCACGAGGTCAATAGAGTTCACATATGGAGTTATTTACTTTTCAAATCTCCTTCAGTATTACAATGTCAGAAGCAGGGAAAACAGCACTACTGAGTGAATCAGGGTTTGGAGATCTTAACCTTGTTTGGAAACTACGATGTTAAATTGCCCACAGTCCTGGGATGAAGTCAGCCCACACTGCTGGCTCTGCCTCTCCAATGTAGGTGACACGGTTTTTCCCATGCGTCTTACCATGTCTGCATGCTGAGTACCAGCAGTGCTCCACCTACTGAAGGAGCCAGCTTAGTTCTGCGTCTTTACATGCTACTTCTTCAGTCTCTGATGTCCTGCTTAGGCATATTCGGCAAACCCCCACGGAGTCTTCAAAACCCAATTGGGAAGTCACCCCACAGCCAGGTGAGTGGCGCACACTGGGGGAGACAGGCTCCTAGTCCCTCGTCTCCTCTTCTAGAGGGCAAGACCAAGGGGTCAGCACCGGGCTGTTTCTCTACAGATGTATACCCAATGTGTCTGACACAGTCTGGATGCAGAGAAGCACCTAAGCACCAACCAGGGAGACCTAGGACTGTGGCTCTCCATTGGCCCTATAACGGTTCCTATTTGTAGGGACAAAGAGGATGAAGGCAAAGCTCCCAGCTCCTGATACCAGCCTTGTCACCTTGTCTCTCTTTGAGCCTTGAGTTCCCCATCTAAAAAATGGTACTGAGTTGAGCATGGAAGCACATACCTGTTTTCTCAGTACTTGGGAGGCAGAGGCATGAGGATCAGGTGTTCAAGCCCAGCCTTGACTACACAACAAATTGAGACTAATATCGGCTACTCAGGATCCTGTCTGAAGAAACGAAACATGAGTGAGTGAATTAATGAATGAATGAACAAATGAGTGAAATGGCGTAAAATCAGCAATGATCTTATCGGGAAGCTGAAAAAAAAAATGAGTTCATAGTAGAAAAACCCTGGGGGCATCGCCTGGCAGACCCGATGCGTGTTAAATAGGATTCACCTCCAGTGTAGACAGGCTTCTTGGGTGGAGTTGCATTTAGCATCTCTCCAGATCTCAGAGGAAGAAATGCAAAGCTGGAGGCAGCTGAAAGCGAACACGTGGCCCAATGATGTAACACACAGAGCTCATTAGCTACCAGACCCAGTGTAAACAGGGCGAGGGCCAAGACTTTCACACCTGAGTGGACCCGAGTCAAATACGTCACACCTGCTGGTCTGCTGGTCTGTCACACACGAATCCCAGAGATAACTTCCCACATGGCGTGTCTGTGCAAATTTATTTGTACGGACACAATAATGACTGAAATTATGTGCCAGGAACTAAACGCTGGAGCCAGTAGGGCACAAGCCAGTGAAGGGCTCACTGAAGATGAGCAGGTGTGGCAGCCCCAGATACGAACCTGAGCTCTTCCTGGCCATGATCATCTCCCTAACTTTGTATAAGACCTGCCTTCAGGCACTCAGCTGGGCACCCATGGGCTTCGTGGACACCAACGAGCCTGCCTTTGCCTATGTGTTCCATAGTAGCTCTCTAGTCCTGCCTGCAGGTCACCGTGAGAGTGGTGGATCACACACTACCACCACCAGAACTGCTGGAGCCACAGAGGCTCCACCCTCCACTCTGCTCCACCTTGACCCTTGCTCCCCACACCCCCAGTCACTCAACACCAACGACCCTGAAACACAGAGGAAAGAGGGCGTTGACCAAATTCAATGGTCTTACTACTGCAGCACCTTCCTCGCTACTAGTACTGATGTGTCTCCCTTTCCCACACACCAAATCTGTTTGGACATCTTTAATAGAAGAAGAAAACGAGAGACAATCAGTGCCAAGGGCAATCCAAGGCGCCCAGCAGGAAAAGGGCTGTATTGTTCTATGAACTGAAGGTGCACTGTGGGTGTTCCTCTCTATTAGGTATAGAAGATGTTGATACCATGGATCTCATTCAGAAACTTGTGTTACTGTATTAGGGAGCCAAGCTTAGCAACCAGGAACACGGACTGTTTCCCAACAATTCCACTAGGGTGGGTTTCTCCTTGGCCAGTCTGGAGAGAGAAGCCCTGTACTTTTGAGTCGCTCCTGCCGTTTCTGGGCTCAGCCTTCCCATGGACTCTGCTCTGGAAGGAAGAAGCCATGGCAGAGACCTGCATGGTAGACCCATGACAACATCACCAACATTGCCACTGGAGTTCCTGGGAACATGTCTTTCACATTTCCCAGAGTGGATGTGGCCTCCAGCAGGGACTCCAGGCCTTAGCCAGACAGGCAGGCAACAACAAGTCCAGAATGAGACTCTTCACGCAGGCAACTCTAAGGCATGCCAGAACCAAAAGGCTCATGGGAATATGCAGGTTGGCTCTGCTCTCAGGAGCCATCCATCACAAGGGAGACGCCTTGGAAGAACATCCAGCTTGTTTGCCTCCTTCGAGGGGAGAATTAATTTCAACACTGGTGGTCATGAATGGCATGAGACGACCACATACCATTTCCAGTGGGCTCTGAACTGAACACGTCCGCGTCCTCACCTCACCGCAGATGCTACCTTCGTCACACATGGCCTTCCCCATCTGGGACATCTAACACTATACTGAAGTCAAGATGTCCCGAAAGCTTATTATGATTTCAATAGTGGAATTAATCCCAGAAAGATGGGTCTATGAGGAAGCAAAGGTCACATTTCCATATAAATGTCTCCAGAGAAAAGAAGAAAACAGCTAAGGAGAAGCCTCCATGGGGCTGTGGGTCAGGCTGCCTCTGGATACACACAACGTTTTCTAAAGCCTCCAGGAGGTTCTGAGCATGCCCAGCAGCCTGGGACAGGCTTGGGTTTCTTACCCACAGAGGGTCATGTCCATGTCAAAGGGGATCACAGAGGATCCACAGAGGGTCATGCCCACGCTCTTGGGGTGTAGAGCCTCTCAAAGGGGATCACAGAGGATCCACAGAGGGTCATGCCCACGCTCTCGGGGAGTACAGCCTCTCAAAGGGGATCACAGAGGATCCACAGAGGGTCATGTCTATGCTCTTGTGGTGTACAGCCTCTCAAAGGGGATCACAGAGGATCCACAGAGGGTCATGTCTATGCTCTTGGGGTGTACAGCCTCTCAAAGGGGATCACAGAGGATCCACAGAGGGTCATGTCCACGCTCTTGGGGTGTACAGCCTCTCAAAGGGGATCACAGAAGAGAATCATGTCCACATTCTTGGGGACCTTTCAACTCTACACACAAGCTTTCCATGGCCATGCTTTTTCACAGAATTTGCTTTCACATCCTCAGTGTTGGCGACCTTGGATGACACCACCCAGGCGACCTTGGATGACACCACCCAGGCGACCTTGGATGACACCACCCAGGCGACCTTGGATGACACCACCCAGGCGACCTTGGATGACACCACCCAGGATCTTTATGTGTTGCTTGATGCCAAAAACCATCGTTTTGTTCCATTTCCTTGAGGAGTCTGCTAATCTGGAGAAATTTCATCCTTATTCCATAACAGCAGAAATATTCCATAAGGATATTAAAAATGACAAGCAGTTCAATGGCGTTAAAGAAACAAATACCACACTTGTAACAATGGGGGCAGTGTTACAATGTAACAGCATCTAAACACAGTCCCCGGCTCTATCAAGATCTAAACATATGCAGATACACATTTTCCAGATTCACTCTTTCCACACCTAGGAAGTGCTGCGGGAGCTCCTTCGGTTGCTTCAGCCAATAGCCGCTGAGATACCAGCCCACTGGGGCGTGGTCTCTTTCTCTTTAAAAAGCAGCGGCAGACCGCTGCTTGCTCTCTTTTGCTCCGGCGACCTAGACTCCTTTCCTGGCTGTCGTGTAAGATGGTGTTCTGTAAGTTTTTCCCCTCAAATAAATAACCATTTGAATCCAAACTGGTGTGGGATTGTTTTGCTCTATAGGGAAGCAAAAGAAAATAGTGAAAAGGGTGGTTTTGTGCGCTGACCTGTGGAGTCCCAGCCCTGCCCTCTGTGGATACAGTCCTGTGTGGAGTAGGGACAGTACTGTGCGCTGACCTGTGGAGTCCCAGCCCTGCCCTCTGTGGATACAGCCCTGTGTAGAAGCAAGGATTTTCAGACATGGCTGGGTTAGGATGAATGCTGCACTGAAGCTGGTCTCATGTGCTGGGTCTTTACAAGGAAAGAGTGATCTGTGGACACCTGGACATGCACGGAGGAAGAGATCATGTGACTGGAAGACAGAGATGAGGTGATGCTGCTGAGGGCTGAGGATGCCTAGGACTACCG